CCACTGTACCCGGCTGGCACACTTACCCCTTCTGGCCCTGGGAGGGGCAGGGGCCGAGGGCGGGGACGGGGCGGACGGGGCGGACGGGGCGGACGGGCCAGCCGGACCGGGGAGACCGGGAGAGCTGCCCTCAAGAGGGGACGTGAGGGCTTCGCCGCCCGGGGACCGCGGGCTCAACCCCTGCCTCCCACCCTCGGCCGGGTCAGGTGCCAGAGGACGAGCTGGTGTCCACACTGAAGCAGCTGGTCTCGGAGAAGCTGAACGTCCCCGTGCGCCAGCAGCGGCTGCTGTTCAAGGGCAAGGCCCTGGCAGGTAACCAGGAAGAGGAGACGCTCAGGGAGCCCCGCAGGAAGTCGGGGGACGGGGTGTGCAGGCCAAACCCGGGCAGCAGTGTGATGAATCGGGGCGCTGGCTCCCGGCGCCAAATGCCATTTGACACTCGGGGAGGTGGCTGAATCCACCACAGCCAGATGCCACAGCCCTCCGCTCTGGCATCGCTTCCTGGGGCCACCCCCACAGCTGTGGGTAGGGAACCCCACCGATCTCTCTTTGGCAGATGGGAAACGACTATCGGATTACAGCATTGGGCCCAATTCCAAGCTCAACCTAGTGGTCAAACCTTTGGAGAAGGTGTTACTTGAAGAAGGCACTGCCCGGAAACTTGCCAACTCCCCACCCCCACCTGTCTGGCAGCTGATCTCTAAAGTCTTGGCTCGCCACTTCAGTGCGGCAGATGCCAGTAGGGTCCTGGAACAACTGCAGAGGGTGAGAAGGGTAACCCTGGACATCCACTCCAGTCCCAGCTGCTCCCAGCCCCTACCTTTGTCACAGTGTACCCCCCCCGACTGGCTCGCCCTGAATCCTCCTGGCCTTCTCTCCCCAGGATTACGAGAGGTCTCTGAGCCGCCTGACGCTGGACGACATCGAACGCTTGGCCAGCCGCTTCCTGCACCCTGAAGTGACTGAGGCTGTGGAGAAAGGGTTCTCCAAATAGCATTCTCCTCCTCTGGAGGAGCCCAAGGCCAGGCCGCAGCTGCATGTTGCATTAAATGTGTTCTTGTGTTGCAGTTTGGCTCATACTACTAATAATAGCTGGGGTGTACCTGCCTCTTGCTAGGTGCCAAGCACCACTCAGCACTTAACCTGGGTTTGCTCCCACACCCTGCAGAAGAGGTGGGACAGCACAGCGAAGGCACCTAGCACTCAAGTGGGGGAACCAGAATCTGAGTCCAGCCAGCTTCTAGAAGTGCCTCAGTGTGAGAAGGAGAAAGGGGCTGTTTGGAGGGATGGGCTTTAGCATTTCATGTTTAGCCCACTGAGAATAAACTCTCAAGTGACTCCCTGCCAAGCTGAAAAGGGAAGCAACTGGCCCCTGCTGTCCAGTCCTGTCACCTGACCTCTGGCGGATCCGGCATAGCCTTCAGCTAACCTCCACATGAGGCCAAGTGACAGCCATCCCTATGTCTCCTCAGCTGCTGCAGCCAGTGTGCACTCAAGGAAGAAAAAGCAGGTTGGGGGCTGAGGAGTCAGAAAGTCACCCCAGCTCTGTGGTGTGACATTGGGCAAGTCCCTGTGCCACCTTGATCCCCCAACCATTGACTGTACAGTGAGAGCCACAACTCTGACCTGAGTCAATCTCCTTCACCCTTACCCCAGCTTAGGGTAGGGAAGCTCTGCAGGGATCCTCTCCCTTGTGTTCAGTAAACAAACTGAAGCCAGAAGTGAAGAGATGGCCAACCGTGGCCCACAGATGTGGTGTCCTGGCCCTTGGTGACACAGCTCTTCTCTGGAGCACCCTGTCTGCTTGTCTCCTCCTGGAAGCAGGTGGTTCTCACCATTAGGACTAACACGTGACTGAGCAAGGCAGTATCAGAGCTGGGACTTGGCTTAGGCCTCTGCACCTGGACGCTTCCCGGGCCGCCTGCGTACAGGGCATTTCACTTTGTCCACTTCTCGTTGCCTGAGAGGAAACTTCATGGTGCCAGGGAGGGGGCAGAGGTGTGAGCTGGGTGGCACTGGTTCCTCCAAAACCCTGCCTGTGCATGAACGCCAGAGGTCATCTATGCTCCTGCCCCTTGGAGGAGGGCCCAGCTCCATCCCTCTCAAGGGAGCCGTTCTTAGTGTGATCAGGGCTGCACCTGCTTTCCCCGCCCAAGGCCCTGCTGCCTGGGTCTTGTGGGGTGAACACTGGGTCCCCGGGCTGGAAAGATGGACAGAGGCCCGATGGGTGAAGGCTCTGAAGAGCAGACGACAGCTCCTGGCCCTCCCTGAAAGCTGGGGGTATCACACATCAGGGGCCCACTTAGTGGCATGTGTGGTCTGGCAGCTCAGATGACAAACTTACCAATGCTGTCGTTTGAGTCAGGAAATTTATTTTGAAAAATTGACACTAAAGGTGGATGTGAGACTTTTATCCAAAAGGAACTATATTAGCTGGGCTGTTTTTGGTTTCCAGTATTTGGTTTAACAATAAAAGGAATTGGTTGAATCAATAAAGGAAACTTCTTGGCTTATGAAACGGAAAAGTCCAGGGGTATTGGCAGCAGATAAATAATTTCACCAGATACCCAGTCTCTTCTTGCCCCCCTCTACATTCTCCAGTATCTGCTTCATCTCAGGCCACCACCTCCAAGGATCTGGCTGCCTGCAGCTTCTATGGAATCCCTCTTCACTGCCAGGGAGGAGCACCTTCTCTCTCTCTGTAATGTAGCTTTTGTCTCAGATGCCCCCAGCAAATAAATGCCGTTGTTTCCTTGATCAGAACTGTGTTGTGAGTCCAGTCATTTTGGCCCAGGGGTGTTAATTCCCCATGAGGCCTGGCCCCTGGAGCTAGGCGTGGGGGCTGCTTCCCTGGACACACGTGGGCTGCACGAGGGATGAGGAGGTCCTGGGGAAGGGCTGAATGGCGGCCACAAACAGCAGCTGTCCACTACAGGGGACATGCATGTGTTGGAAGGATCGGGATTACCTTGGAGGTAGTGAAGGGAGAAGGGCTAGCGGTGAGCCTTGTCACCTCTCACAGAGTGATGGAGATGCAAAAGATTACTCAGAGCCCACGTATTCAGAGCAGTGAGAAGGCTGAAGGGAAAACTTCAAGAGGAGAGCCCAGGCACAGCCCTGGCTCAGTTTTTGCTTCAGTTTTTATTGTAAAGACAAGAAAGTTAACAGAAGAAAAACAGGTGGTTAATCAATCAAAGTGAAAACATAAACTGGCCACATGACAATCTTCATTAAAGCAAGTGTAGTTTAAAATAGTTCAAGTAATTTACTATCAAAAGGAGTCATAAAACTAAGCTATGTTATATACAAAAAGAAACAATGAGATAATCAGCAAAGCGCCTAACACCCCAAGAAACTCAAAGAAACAGCTTAGGGTGAGATGTGGGACGTCCCCCAAGTGCTAACCAGCAGAATATACTTGCAGATTTGAGCTCACACACTTTCCCAGCATTTAGGTTTAGCTGCACCAAGGGCAACTGCCCCCAGAGCAATCGCTTTTCACTGTGCTTCAATTCTCTTATCTACATCAAAGGCTTTAGTCTTGTGAAAGTTTTCTGGTCTTTTTTAATCTTAGCATTTCTATGTGTTTTCCTAAAGGGTTGGGCTTTGGCCCCCTAAACTAGAGCCTTTGACCTAAACTAAGGACTTTGGTCCTCTAAACTACAGGCTTTAGCCTTCTAAGCTATAGGCTTTGGCCTAGACTAAGGCCTTTGGCCCTGTGGGATACATGTGTTTTATTTCTATCATCTCATTAACAACGTCTTAGTCAATATCCTCCACAGAGCCTGGAGCAGCGAGCTCAGGCAAAGAGAAGCATTTTCTGAGGCTTGCAACTTGCCGGGCCCTGTGCCGCACGTTTTCAAAGTCATAGGAACATCCAACAGGAGCTCGTTATCTCCATTTTACAGGCAAAGAAACAGACCCTAGAGATGGTTATTAAGTCCCTTGTACCAGTGCCTCCCAGCTCAGGGGTGACAGAGCCTGGAGGCCAGGTGGTTAGGAGACTGGCCTTGGTTGGAGATGAGAAGGCAGCTTTCCTGATGTATTCAGATGGTACAGTTGGCAGCTTTTGGAGAGAGGCTGCCTGTAGAATGAGGGGACTAAATGGGGGGGGGGGGGGGCCTTGGA